TTTCTTATACAAATCAATCATAGTTAGGATACCCTTCAGTGAACTTGGATGCTCATCCTTGACCCACAGCATTAGCGCCACATATCTAACTCGGGTGGAGTCTTTGGATGTTCTGCTGAAATCTCCAAACTCCGGCAGTCAAATTTATTTATTGTAACCTGATTGTTTGGGTTTCGTGATTCTGTTGCTCCCACTGTAAAAAGGAAATAGCTGTCTTGCCCAATGGTTCGGAAACGGAACATGGGTTTAAAAAAATGTAATAAAACAAAAGCTAAACAGTTCTGTCTCTGTTTGATCTCAGTTCCCTCTGCCCTCTCAGGGCCGGCTGGCTGAGACGAGGGGCTGTCAACAAGCGGTAGAAAGAAAATGGCATTCGAACAGCCGACTAGCTGATAGAGTGATGAGCTTATCAGTCAAGCGCAGATCTCTGGGCGTCTTGTTTTTGCTGTTTGTGCGCAAGCATGTTGACAAAAAAGTTAGCGGGTAGGGAAATTGCTGTTTCAGAGTGTGTTTGTCTTTGGATGAACCTTTGAGATCAGTCAGTAAAAGACAAAGAATAATAATAAAGTTGGATTCTTGGACGTACAATAGCCCGATGATCTGGTGGGCTGGCTTTAACTCAAAGGGCTGCTCCTTTTGGGGCATGCACGTATCCCATGACCCTAATGTGTGGTGGATGGTGGTGGTGGTGTGATGTGTACAACAGCTCAGTGAGAGTTTTTTGAGATATAGCAGCACTGTTGCACTCTGGAAACAATTACCAGGCAATAATCTTCACATTCTTTCATCTCACCACCAGCTCAGCTGATTAGGATATCCACTGGTTTGCGAGGCAAACCTCAAACATGCACGTACACACTTGCTGTTTTTTTTCCCTACCCTTCCTGCTCATACAGCACAATACAGTACAGTACAGTAAATGGGCTCGCTCTTCTTTGGTTACTGACCAACTCTCTTTCCTTTCTCCCGCACACACTCACACACCTGACATCTGATTCCTGACTGATGATTAATGACCCCAGAAGTCTTTCAGCGGGGACCACCCAGGGTCAAAATAACCTGCCATAAATACAGAAGCAGTAAAATACCATTCAGTCGCCACTCTTCTATTTGCACATGCTGCAGCATCGTGCGTGTGTGTTTGTGTGTGTATACGTGTGCATGTGCACATAGGTGTGCCAAAGCTAGAAATCTGGACTTGTGACTGTGGAAACACTTAAAAATGTGCGCACACCTCTCTACCTCCAAACACCCCCTGCCTCTCCTCTTTCTGCCTCCAGTCATTTTAGTGCATGTGTGGCGCGTGTGAAGAAAGGAAGGGGAATTACTCCAACAACACCTTCCAAAATGCAGAACAATTCCTGCTATTCTCTCCTGAAACTCTTCTTGAATTTTTCTGTTCACTCTCTTCTCTTCTTTTCCCCCGGTCTTCCCTTTCCCCAGTCCAACAGACGGAAGAATTACCCCAGCTGTCCTCTAATCTCCATAGAGAGCTTTTTCCCAGGGTGGAAACACTGTCATCCTTTTTCTCTCCACTCTCTCCCCTTCCCCCTTTTTATCAGTGTCAAATGATTACCCCAGGGGGAAACTGAGCTCGGCAACAATATGCGTCAGGTGAGCCAAGAGGAGTCTAGCCACAAAAAAAAAAAAAATTCTCCTCCTCTACCCGCTCTATCCATCCACCTATCCATTCTTCTCACTTCTCTACTCTCTTGTGCCCTCCCATAACCCCACCCACACTCTCCACCCTCATGCCAACTAAGGGCAGAGCCCCAAGCCCATCTCAGAGGAATTTCCTTGTTGAAATTCACATAAATTTCAGAGGCTTCAAGTTTTATCCACAGTGTGTGAAACTACTGAACCTCCAATAACTCTAGCATTCACTTTCCAACTTTCCATTCCTCCCTTGCTTCTGTATGGCACCTTCTTTAAAAGTTTCTGTCTTTTCCTTTTTGTTTATCCTCTTCGCATTAGCTTTTTAATGTTTTTTGCATCTCTGTCGTGCTGCTTTATTATTCCCTTCTTGAAATTTCCTTTTCTTATGCCTTATCCCTTCCCTTCCTCCCTCACCAGCTTTTTTCACTCATCTTAAACTGCCTTGTGCAGGCACAGCCTGGTGAATGCCAGGCATTCCTTTGTAAGGTTAGAACAGACAAAGGTGGACCACATCACCTGAGAGAAAACGGCCCTTTTGAATTGTCGCACAAGGGAAAGAGAGGCTGATAGTGAATAAAAGAGGGACTATAGAAGCACAGGAGAAAAGAGCAGGATGGAAGAGAGGAACACCTGTCCTCTGTTGTCCTTGTGTGAACCTTCAACTCTGACCTTCGCTAATGGATATCAATGGCTTGTTTGAATAAAAGGGGCTTAGCTGAAGGAAAGTGCATTAGGTGTAGGTGCTCCTAATCCTGCTATGAAAAGTGAATGAACGCTGTGAATCAGAATAATGTCTCCAAACACTCTTAACCGTTACCCATGTTAGCTTATGCTATCAACGCAGTCACTGCCATACAATACTTCACTCAGAGAGTGACCACTGAATCGAATAAACAAGGTCATATTACAACCCCAAACTTAATTTCAATCAAGCTCACAAGCAACTCCACCCTATAACACACTCCAGCCATTCACAGGACCCACACAAGGAACACACATGCTCAGTGCACCCCCAGACAAACTCCCTCCACCCTTAACACACCACCTTTGAGAACAGACCCCCATACGTTAGCACATAGGGAGTCTATGTTTGGGCACACTAGGTGTGGTGTAGGGTGTAGTTTATCTGTGACGCCAACCTGTCCCTGATGTCTTATTTTGGGGGTTTCTGACCAACATCAAGAGCTAAGCGGGTCCGTGTGATGCAATGCAACGATTTTCCAGCCACTGTTTGTTTTTGTTCTTACTAATGGAATGAAGCGGAGGGGAAAAAGTGGAGTGAAAAAAGGCAAACTTATGACGACCAGGTGTTTTTTCCCTCTCCTCGGGAATGTTTCACCTTGTAAAAGCAAAGCGAGTGGGAGGGGGCTTTCGTACCATGCTATAGTGGTGAGTGGTGTGGGGACTTTTCAGGGGGTGAGTGTAGGCTGACCAAATGAGTGAACATAAGCGTTTGTTTTGTGTCTGTGTGAGAGTATTAGAAGGTTAGCTGAGATTTGTTGATGAGCCCGAGGTGGAATTCTTCAGCGCAACTGTACCATAACTGGAAGAGGCGGAGGCTTTCTTGTGGTTGTGTGCGAGCCTCCGCCGACTGATTTTTTTCCCCCCATTGAGCTACAAACAGCGATCACTTGTGCGGCGGGGCGTGATCAACAAGCGGCACGCATGCACGCAGAAACACATACACCTGGGGCGGGGAATGAATGGTAGGCCTAACTACTACACAGGGTTCCTATTGATGACATCATTACTGGGCATATGGTTACTCCACCCTTTATATGTTCAGAGGACCATTCAACTTGCACCATGGCTCTTTCAAAGGAATGACGCCTGTTGCTTTTTTTTTTTTAATTATTCAATTTGGTCGGCTCCAGTCGTGAACAGGATACTTATTTTAGCTGATCACGATGGCACTTATGGCAATTATCAGCAGTCACATTTATGACCATCCATCACTGCAGATGTCTCCTTTTTAGCCCTCTCATGCACGTCTAATCACTTTGCTATCTTGATATTTGCTCAAAAGAGTGCAAATAAAATGCATAAAACCCCATTTGCACTATAAATTTTGCCATAATGGCACCCTTCAAAAAGCAGATCCCCATTAAATATTATAATAATGATCCAAATATGCCCTTTTGAGACGCTCTCATGCAAGGAAAAGCTGACTTCAGCCCGACTTTGCTTCTAAAAGTTGGTCGATTACACAGTCTGGGGACGTTTATTACTCCTCATGTGCAAAACATGAATGAGAGAAAGTGCCGTGGGGCTGCCAACTTTTGACAACTCTCTGTTACTTGCAGAGTGACTGAAGCAATGAATCAGTGGATGCTGCCGAAATGACAGAGCCTTAAATAAACCAGTAACTGGCACAACATCATAATGAGGGGAAGAACTTGGGCAACTCTAAAATCCTCTTTATTGTTTCTCCCTCTCTCTCTCTCTTTCCTCTTGGTGCGGATCTGTTTGGAATCCCAGTCTCTATCTGATCTTTAAATCAGCCAGTGGCTCTGTCCCAGTAGGTCTTTCAGGAAAAGGCTAGGCCAGCTTTCCTCCCAGTGTATCCAATCAGAAGCGTGGAACAGCATGCTCGTCAAGGTCCACTACCATAGCAAAGAGCCAGCTAGCACGCTGCCAGTTAAACACTGAATGCTAAGTCTGTTTTGATCCTACTAAGTTGCTGCTGTGTGGGAAGTAACCTGTACTAAATGATAAGGGATGGCTGTGGCTCATCCAGGTTGTTAGCAAACATCCAAAACATTACCAGTTTTCATGAGAATTTGCTTATTTTCCCGGCAATCGCCTGGCACGCTTCAAAGACGAGGAATAGTTGATACTTGTAATACGTGCCACGAATAGATGAGGCGGACTAAAGAAATGTAAAAAGATGTGATTAACCGCACTATGGTGATCAAAATGAAGAAAGTGGCACCATGTGACAACTGCACACGACCTACAGCAGGTTTTAGGTGATGGTGCAATGCCGCTTTGAGCCTTACCGTTGTCCACTGTCATGTCATCCACAGACTTTATCAATAAAGCTGCAAAAGAAATAAAGCATAAGCTGGATCTCATTTGAAAGACTGATTTGTGATCATGTTTCCAAAACAGTAAAGAGGCTAAAAAGGCAGCGTGATTTCCTGGAGGTGAGTTTGGGAAGGCGAGGAGAACAGTGAGAAACAGAACATGAGACGCCTTCGAATTCCCCTCTTCTCGTGTTTTTTTGTTCCCCTTCCCTCCTCTTCATCCTACCCCACCCCTCTCTGCGCGGCTGCTACCCCACCCCATCCTGCTCACTCCCCTCCTTCTTCACTGCAGCCAGCCACAGACACTTGCTTTTTGTATCAAGGGGGCTAACCCAATGAACAATCCTGTCCGTCTTTCCCAAAATAAGCTGGTGGGAGAGGGATCGCGTAGTAAGCCAGAGAGATTGGAGCAGCGAGGTGCACAGCCCCCCCCCGCCCCACCTCGGGTTATAAGTCCTTGGAGTGGGAGCACAACCTGCTTGGACCCAGATACACTGCCTCGCTGCCTGCCTGCCTGACTGACCTGAGTGACTAACTGACTGAGTTCCACTTCACTGCTACTCACTCTCTCTCCCTCTGTGTCCTGCTCCCTTGCTCCTTCCCTCCTACTTTCCACCCTGGAGAGCAAGAGCGCACAGATTGGGAAGGTGTTCCTCAGACCTGCGTCTGGACAGCTCGAAGACGACACAGAGAGGACGTTTCCCCATTCTCACCCTTTCATCACCTCTGTCACTTTTGCCACCTCTGCCCCCCCCCCAAAAAGTACATGGATAGAACTTTTTTTCTTTCTCCCTTCCTTCCTTTTTGTTTGTTTTTGTTTTTGCTGGAAGCAGAAAATTAAAAGTTTTGCAGACAGTTATCTCAACCTGCAGTTGAAGATTTTCAGTTTTTAACTTTTGCATTTTGTTTTTTTTTTCTTTTCTTTTCCTTTTTATTGTTTGCTTGTTATTCTTGCACCTGCGAGCAGCGCTGGACCAATTCCGAGTGCCAGATCTTTGCCCAGGAGGACCCTACTTGTTCGCTGAAAACCTGATGCCATCACATCCCATGGGAGACACGAGTGGCTGAAGGAGGGAGGTAGAAGAGACCCTGAACCACCTGACGCAAACACCTAACGCTGCCCTTGCCCAGCGATCCTCCCCCCCACCCCTGCTCTCCTCCACCGAGTCTCTGAGGAAAGAAAGGTAAGCAGGTTTCCTCTGAATCCATTAGCATCCTCGTGGTCATCTCTTTTCTTTTTTGTGCCTGAGGTGGCTAAAAGCAATTAAGAGAGAGAGCGGGAAAGGAGGAAAAACAGATTCCATTTGTTAGTCATGGGACTTGCATAATTCTCCTCAGTCCTAAGCCAGCGCACAGCGTAACAACTTGCAGACTAAAAAGAACTGAGCACACCAAAAGCACACTCAAGTGTTCCACTCACACTGTGTGGACGCTGATTTTTATATAAAATTTGTAGCTGCGCACCGTCTGTTGATCTTTGAGTGTCCCGTGAGATCGATGATCTGGACTGTTGCTTTGTGTATGCGCAACAGGTATGCGAGTTTGAGATCTGGGCTAAGACACTGTTGATGCATCCATGCCCATACATCTGGGACTTTAGTTGATGATGTTGAAGGGGGCGTGGTGTGCATTGCAAGTGTGTATCGGGGGCTCGGCTGTGCAGCAGGATATGTTCAAGGTTACAGATGTAACAAGGGTGTCCTCCATGTGGATGGATCTGTGTTTTCTGTGTAATGCAATAGCTGCTCTTAATCATATAATGATTGGTATGTGCAAGTGCAAAGGAAGATTGCAAACGCACACAAAACGCACACATGCTCTTCTCTTCTCTGCTCTGTCCATCCACTGTGATACCTCTGGCAGGCGACACTGCATTCCTTTGTAACGGCATCCTTCCATCGCAAACAGAGAGAGGACAGACAGTTGTGACTCCGAGCCCTTGGGTGTACTGCACGACAAACTAGCAGGGATAGATAGAGAAAAAATGCAAGCTCTGTTGAGGAGATACATTTTTGATCACATGTGTTTTAGTGCACCAGCAGCAGCGGCGGCGGCAGTGGCTTGTGGTGGCAGCAGTAGAGTTTCTTTGCAAAGGAAGGAGGGGAGGTAGAAAAATATACAGAGTAAGAGAGGTGTAGAGAGAGAGTAAGAGACAAAAAAGTGGAGGGGGGGAGTCTGGAAAAGACAGCGGTCAGGAAATCTGAAATCCAAAAACATTTGGCAGCATCCCTCTACTTTGCTGGCCTACGGCAAGAAAAGTCTACTAAACGTGTACCTGTGTGTATGTGTGAGTGTGTGTGCTGGTATGTGTGCACACATGCTTGCCCTAATGTGACTGGATCTCCACTAGAGTGTGTAAACAGTCGTATGGGACACACACTGGAGTGTGAGCGCTCTTCTTTGTTGGTGAGCAACAACAGGAGTGTGCAGAGCTGCTGGTGTGCAGCAGTGAGCCAGCTTCCAGTCAGCTTTCCACACGTGCATGGCTTTGTTTCGATTAAAGAATTGATAGATTAAAAGATTTACATTCCTCTCAACTTCTTCAAGAATTAACGGTCTGTTTTGTGTTCAGCGCTTGACAAAACCTGGGCTAAATGACTTTCACCGATTTGCACCCTCCAGTGGGCGGCGACTGGTCAGTTAGTAGCTGACTTGTGGTTACAAGCAGCTCAAGTGTGTGTTTCGTGTGTAGTGCATTATATAACCACAGTTACCAGACTCCAACCAGCTGCCCATGCAGGCCTTTGATACAGAGTGCCAAAAGTGTGACCAAGCATACACAAGCAACAGTCACGCTGGATACACAGCGGCACACACGGCACACTTTATGCCCCGTGTAAAGCAAACACCTCCATGTGGATTTACACCTCACACACACACACACACACACACACACACACGTTTCCAACAGATGAACATACTCGACTGTCAGCGCTGCTGCCAGACTGCCTGCTCATATACTGCTGAGCTTCTCATCCCCCACTGCATTCAGTTTATAGGCTGTAACATGTGACGTTTTTACACTCCAAACTCAACACCAGCTCTTGAATTTTTTCCCCCTCAGTAGTTTAAAGGGAATTTATTTATTTTCTTCCTTAAATGTTGCAGTAAAAGGATAAAGGACATCTTTGTGGATCTGTAAACTCTTGGGCGAGCTTTCATAGCCATTACAGCGGCACAGACCAGAGACAGCCAGCAGAAAACCTGTTCTCGGATGTCTCCCTCGTTACAAATACCCATCTGTTTTGCTAATGTCCTGTATTTGTGTGATCGAAGAGCAAAACAGAAGGATAATAAAAATAGAAATGTTGCTGTGCTGATGAACTGTGTCACCCTCTTGTAAAACAGTCCAAAGAGTGTGACCTCAAGGGGGCAGAATAGCAGGCAGTTTCAAAGACACCTGGCACTGTGTAGTTAAAAGCATACCTATTGTTCTCTCTGCTAATTTTCAAATGAATCTTTATTGAAACATGTTTAAGTAATCTTAAAAATATTATTCTTTTTATAAATTGCCTCACAACTCTGATAACATTCAAAGAGGTGTCCTAATTCACTGTTACAGTACAGCTGATCATGATTCATTTTCATTTTCGCTGACTTAGAGGAGGGGATATCCGCAGTCCATCACATCACTTACCAACTGTACTCAGTTTTCAGCCTCCCCTCTTGTGCTGTTAAATGATGCCAAACCACTTTTAGCAGACTGTATCAGTTTCATGTGCTAGATTGTGCTTCCTCGCAGTCCCTTTGTAGCCGTGGCTGTGTAAGCTTTTGCATGTGTGTTTGTGTTTGAGAGCGGGCAAGCACTTGTGGCTCTATTACTTTCAGTGCTAGCAGGAAATGAAGGAGAATGCCACTCATTTTCCAGCAAACGTAAACGCCCACCTTATTCCTACACACACACACATACACAAAATCACATGAATGGACACACATACAAGTTCTCCCTGAGCCTTTTGAGTCGTGGTCTTTTTGTTTGTCTGTGGTTTTATTATATAATCCTTATTTTTTACTTTGTTCTTATGTTACTGGGGATTTTTCTTCTTTCATATCTGTTCCTTCTGTGTTCCTAGCTTTTTTGTTTGTTTGTTTGTTTGTTTTTTACAAGTACTTCCTATTTTATTTTGAAACTTCTTCTACGATTTTAGTTTGCTCTAGTGGTGTGGAATACTGCAAATTCTGGTACTGCAGATACCAATACCGATGCCGATACTTTTATCTTATATAGGCAGCTGATGCAGGGTAGAGCAATGTGTAATAACTTAAGAGATAATCATCAAGAGACCTGGAATGTAAGGTCTCTAAAGCACTTCGCGTCAGCTTCTGTTGTTTAAACGTGCTATAGGCTATAAATAAAACAGACGTGACAGTCAACACAAAAAGGTTCAGACATTTTTCATAGTTTGAGATATATTTTTTTCATTTCCAAAAGAAAAATAAATTATTTAACACAAATCAGCAGGCGGCATACTGATCTCAGAGGATATTAGGCTACTATCGACTCTGATATCAATACCTAGATATTCGGATCCATCTGCCCACGGATCCTATCTTCCTGTTTCTGCCCTTGTTACTGTGTTGTTTGGGTTCACCTACGCCATATTATGCTTTTCTACCAGATGTGTGTATTTGTTAGGTTGTCTGCTTCCTTGCTCCCCTTCTGTTATTTTGTCGTCTCGTAAAGGTTAAAGATTTCCCTGCCCCCTTGTGAGCCTGGTTTAAAGTTCTTTTGTTCAGTATGCCAGCTGTTAGGTCAGCCTTAAGAACTTTCCTCCATGATTTTCCTAACATGACTCTGTGGTACACAAACAGACACAAATACTGTGCAGCACCCATTATGGGGAATGCTAACTGGTGCTGCTGATATACTGAATGAAGAATTCCAGTGAAGGATGGGGGAAACACTATACAGGTCCTGGTCTTGATCAGAGCCTGGCCCATAACATTAAAGATTAATTGGCTCAATTTGTTTTTCAGCTAATAGGGGAATTAGAAAAAGACACAGTGAAAGGCATGAACTTGTTTCCCCGTGCCGACGCATGGAGATTTGCATCCTGCCTCCTTTTGCTTCGTTTGACCTTGTGTGTTTATACTGTCTAAGCTTATTTGAACATCAACAGTAGCCATCTTGGCCCACACATGCGAGCTGATATATGTGGAAGTCAGTTAGCTGAATGGCAGATAGTGAATCTGCGCAAACATACGGCCCTCCAGAGTGGATGGAACAGCATGTTATTAATCAGGCCCTTGTTTTGAAGGACATTGTTTTGGCTCTCAGCTCAGAGCTAGAGGACAGAAAGACAAGGAGAGGGGGGAAAAAATGCAGTTTTCTCTCATTTGAGCTCTGTTTCATGTGGATTAGAATTTTGACAGCTTTGCTTATTTAGTTTTCTATTTGAATTATTCTCTGATTCATTTACCTGTTTCCCTTTATCTGTGTTTACCGATCTCCCACTCCTATTCCCTCATAACTGTGTCTGGACCAGAGGAAGTTTTTCCACTGTGCTGGCAGCAACAAGGGGATGGAGAAAGAGAGACGGGGGGAGAGCAAGCAGTGGGGAGGCTTGGCAAATGTGTTATTTTCCCTCCGCCTCCCATTGACTGTCAGCAGTGGTTCAATCTTTTAAAAAAAGAAAGCGTGCAAGCTCAAAGTAGCTTGACAACATACCCTTATCACTCATACAGCAGCAGGAGGAAACTGGCGGTGGCATTACTACCCCACCCCCCAACAGCCCCCTTTCTCCTTGACTTTTATCCAGTTGTTTTAGCATCTCTCCGTTTTCCCCATTTCTTTCCATTCTATTTTACTGGTTTAGTCTACAAATCCTTTTGGACTGAACCCCAACTCTTTACTGGGCTCAAACGAAAACCCCTGTGGTAAAGCAGTGCTCTTCCCCAATGCCAAACATTGCTTTTAGTCAGTGAGGCCTGAACAAAGCGCAGTGAGGAAACAAGCCGCGGACGGAATACGTATTGAGCAACAGCTTCCCGGAGTCACATCTATGTTTTTCCCGCCTGCCTCTGAGTGTTGTGGGATGACAGCTTGTGTTTCCAAAGGGAACCCAACAGGAACAAACAGGAATGAGAGCGTTGGTGCTCATCCAGCAACAGAGCTGTTTCTAGTTAATGAGATGTGACATCTGCTGTTCTGCTGATGAGGCTGAGTTTTCCTTGGTTTTAACTC